ACTGAATCCTATCATTTCCTTTGCATTGGCTTATTTTAGGTTGTGTTCAGATTAAAAGTTATCAGTCCAGCAGGATCTATCTTTCTCTGCTGGGATTACGCTTCAGAGCACTCAATGTAATCAACGTAATTGTCTGGCCTGTCCTCTTCAGAAGCTAGGGGGTAATTATCTTTTGAAGCTTCTGGAGGGGGCGGACCAGACAATTAATTTGATTACATTGAGTACACTGAAGAATAATCCCAACATATCTGAGATCGATTAATCCTGCTGAACTGATAACTTTTAATCTGAACACAGCCTTGTGGGGTGGGATTTAGTCTGTAACTTCATTCATTTTACACATCTTTTCATTTGCTTAAGATTTTTTTTCGTTCCTTTGTATGGAACCATTCACATAAAATGATGTATTAGACCCCATTCCCATAGATTTTAGATCGATCTATCCCTGTGGAGAGTCTCATTAGATTACTTTCAGCTTAGCCGGCTTAAGCGTCTGTCCTGCCTATTAAAAGCTGTAAGGGGGTAATTAACTGTGGTGCACGCTCGGTTGACTGCAATTTAGCGTGAACCCCCAGGGAGTTGGGTTGATCTAAATCTAAATCTCTGGATTGATCTAAATCTCTGGGAATGAACCCTTAGAGCACATCTATTTTGTGAATATGGGCTCCATCAGTTTGGTTGACATGGAGTGCATTCCCATAGATTTTTAGATCAATCTATCCCCGTGGGGAGTCTCACTAGATAGTTGTCAGCCTGACCGGCTTAAATGTCTGTCCCGCCTACTAAAAGCTGTAAGGGGGTAATTAACTTTTGTGTGCTCTTGGAACCTGACAGCAATTTAGCGTGAACCCCCAAGGAAATCTAAATCTATGGGAACCCAGTCAAAGTTCTTGTTTATCAAGAATGAAGCATGAACATTTTCAGCAACATAGAAAAAGGTGTTAATTGACATCTCATAGACTACATTTCAAAATATAAAACCAACAGGCAGAATTACCTTTACCTATCTTCACTGCAGTAATTCTGCCTGTTGGTTTTATATTTTGTCTTGATGTTTAGATGATGTTTCTGATCAGCATTAAGTTGACTTAGTAACATTTCTTCAATTTTTTCAAGATTGAACCAGGCCACTTCTTATAAACTAGGTGTTATTAAAGATAAGGTGCTTTGGTAAAACAAAATTACTACTTATTTTGTCTTTAAAATTCTGTTTGCATCTGAAGTAAGGAGTGTTCAAGAATTGAGAGTAATATGGTCTCGACATTTGTTTGTTAAATATTTATCAACTTTTTTGGGACATATGTTGGATGTCTTTTGGACTTCTGTGAAATAAAAAACATTACAGTTCTTTACTTTAAGCATCTTAAAGACTGCCTATGCCCCGCATTCTTCATAAATACATCCAGCCTCCAGCAAAATTACCTCTACAAATACTTCAATTGGTAATGAAGTTTTTTCTACAAATATTGTTGTCTAATTAGTTTTCAGAACACAATAAAATGTGCAAAGAACATGCCCACATCACAAAGTTGATAATCTGCTTGGTTATTTGCTTGCTTGATTAAATGCTTTAATTATTCAGACCCAGGGATTTTAGAAGATGAGATTAATTATCTGTCTCGAATGAGGTTAACATGCATAGCAGTCTGCCAACATGTACATTTACTGGTAATAAAGTTGATGGTATACTGTACCTGTTTTATGTCTACAAATTCTGCAAACTTTAAGTTAGCTAATAAACTTTTCAATTCATACCTTTTAAAGTCAGTAATTTACTATTAGAAATTGTATAAAAACATCAAATCCAAGGGTAGGCTGGAACAGTTTGAGCAATGATTTGTGAGTCAGATAAAATTGCTTCTTTTTCAGGGAGAATTTGATTTGGAGGGAAAATCCAACACATATATACACATACTTCTGAGCAACCAGTCTTTTCTGTCAGTGTCTGAAAGTTCTTTGTCATTCTAATTCCCAGAACCAAATAATGGCATTTAAATTTCTAATCTAAAATCTTTTATCTCCAGAAAAGTAATGAGTAGAATAATAATGAAACAGTTATGAAGCAGTCAAATGCAAAAAATTGTAGTAAATATGTTTAGTGTTTATTCTCGTGAAAAATCTCTTGCCAGACTAGTCTGCCAAGAGAGACAGTATTGACATATTTTTTCAATGGAGAAAATTGAATTTTACAGATACTGTATTTTTTAAAGCGATGGATTCTTTATATATATATATATATATATATATATATATATATATATATATATATATATATATATATATATATAATGAATTGATCTTTTTAATGGGAAAAATATCAATATTTCAAATAAAGATTAATACATTACTGTACACATAATTAAGTCTCAGAATGACTGCAGTTACATCAAGCTTGTGATTTAAAAGCAAAGTTAACAAGGAAATAAATTCCTTCATTACAATTCATGATATATATAAAAAATACAAGGAAATTGACACAGAAGTGCCATTAATAGAAAATGTATGTTACATAAACATTGCATATGGCAGATAATTGTTTGAAAAAGTGAATAATACAACTTGAGCAATATGGTGTGCCTTCAGGAAGTTTGTCTCCCAGTTGAGCAATTTAAATATTGAAAAAGATTGTTTGGAAAGACACACAGATTCCAAGAATCTTATCATTCTCTTTTTCTACCTAATACATGTATGTGTGATTCTACCAGTATAACCACTGTCAAAGGCTGTAAACAACCAGTGACACCTACACCCAAAAAATATCTACATTTCAGAATTATGCTGCATATAATTAAAATACAGTTACTCACAATACATAGAAAGTTTGGATATTTTTTTGATAAATCTTTTACAAAAAAAAAAGTTAATCTATTTAGATTGTCATAGTATCTTTTTCAATGGCTGCAAACCATTTAAAAGACAATTTTTGATTGATTTAATTTCTTGACCAATGAATAATGATAATAATTCACTTGTATTTTTAAATGTCCATGCTCATGCACTAGGCCAGTTGTAAGTGTCCAAAATTGGTCTTCAGCTCTTCAGTCAGTCCTCTAAAATGCACTGCCTTTTGCCAACTGACGTCCATGAATAGAATTTAGAGAGCGCAACTCAACTGTAAAATAAAAAAAAGGAATATTATAACTCATCAACACCAAATATATTCAGCCAAAATGAATGAGCCAAGAAGTTCATCACTCAGTCAATTCAATGCAAAAGTCAACACATTTTCACATGCATGAAGAAAGCAGACTGAAATAACTTTGCTATAAAGCACTGATTTTCAAAGAAAACACTACTAGAGGTAAGATTAGTTGTTTTTCATTTTTATTAATTGTTAATAAATTTTGGAATAACTATCAGGTCTTCTTAATGGAAGTCAAATCAAACATTAATGATGACAAAATCATCAATTTTTCATTCCAACCAGTGAACTACCATAATGCCATACTGGTGGTTATTATAAAATGACGATGATTACCTGCATTGCTTGTGTTTACTTAAATTAAATTAAGGTAGGGATCTATTTGCACCAAACACAGTTGAATCAGATACTGATTACATTTTCCATATTTGTACTTTAATGTTTACTGTCAACCCTCTTATTTTATTTAATCCAAAAATTACGTTCAAACTTGTTATTTAATCATTTCTTAAAATCTAGATCACCATCTGTTAATCAGTCTGATCCATATAAGGTTCCATGTACCACCTAAAATTTCAGTTATGCTTTAATTTCTCATGGACTAATGTATAGATGATTTAATATAATTATCCTTTATTTGATTCACATAAATCTTATCATTGACAAAACATGCTTTATTTTGAAAAAATTACTTCCTCTGACTTAATCAAATCATGTTATTTAAAGGCACGCTTATACTCCACTACATTCATCAATTTTCAAATAAAAAACAAAACAATAAAACACCTCAGTGACATCACCCATGCAATTGACATTTTTTTCAATTAACCAGTAACAAGCATTATGAACTTAAAAAGCCAACCAGTGAAACAGGACAACCGATAGTTTTGTTAAATGCTTTACCTAAAATGTGAAACATGTCTGTCGTCCTGAAGAAAGGCAGTAAAAATATGGATAAGATTAATTCAAGTGGTTTATATCATGCCTCCTATATTCATATACGGGAAACAGTTTATAAAAGCAATTTCCAACACCTTGAATAGATGCTGAAATCTAAACTGAAACACAACTGAACAATTCTTATGCATTTAAAATTTTAACTGCCTAATTAATAAAAAGAGTAAAGAGATAAATGAGTGGTGACTGCTGCTTATAGCTGCTGCTGTTAGATCCTACTGTATGAGTATGTATTTGTTTCTATTCAACTGCACAGTGTCTGTAAGTTCCAAGGTGATGTCTTGTACACTAAACCTATGTCTGATATATGTGTGAGGAAAGCATCATGATTAGAGCAGCTTAAGTGCAGAGCTGAAACAAGTGCATTGGTTAATATATAAAAATTCCTGGGAACAAATCTGTGATTTGCAAATACACACTTGTGTCTGCATGGTAGCTTATTTCAGTTTCCAACATAATTATCTTGTAAATTTGTAAAGTGAATATTTCAAAAGTCATGTTAACTAAGTCTTGGGATCGCAGGTTGCAGACTGAATCTTTAAATTTAAAGATAACAGCAGCATTTTCATATTTTAATTGTTATTATTATTTTCATGAATGAAAACCAAATAGATTGCCAAATGTATAACAAATACCAAATCTGACATACAAGTGTGTACGGCACATGACAGTTCTCCTTGTAACAAACACATTACTCAGTATACCATTTAGACTACTAATGCTACTCCATGCTGTCAGAAATGTCTAGAGAAAGACAATGCAGATTCTGCCATTCCCATGGGATAGTGACCATCATTTGCTGAAAATCAAAGTTAATCAATTCAATCTATCTCCAGAAATCAACTACATGAAGATTAACTCAACACTTCAATGCA